GTATCATAATGTTATTGGCCAGAAATAGCAAAACAATATTATCCCCATTTTCATACAAGTGTGTTCTTGATCACATGAGCAACAAGCAACAACAATATGGACCTTTAATAAACAAATATATAAGATCATAAGTCAAAATTAAAGTGATTATTTTTTTCAAATTTGAGTCCTCTAACAGGATTACTGTCATTGTCTAAGTACTAAACCTTCATATACAGGCGAACCATGAGTTGTTGACAGTAGGACACCTTAGACAAGTCAAGTATCTTTTTTCTTTTTGAGTCTAACTTGTCACAAAACTCTACATTTTGGATTATAATTTTCTATTTTATTAGCTTGTTTCATTTAATATTTCAATAATAACTCATTATAATATTTATAGAGATTTTGAGAGAGAGAGAGAGAGAACATGTTTTAAGGGATGAAGAGAGTTTTAAAAAAAAGATTCTCCATAATAAGTGAGAAAAGAATAAAGAGGGATATGAGAGTCATGTTTGGGGAGCAATTTTGTAACTAGACTCCATTAAGTTATACATATATATAAAATAACAAATGAAAAACAAGGGAATGGGTTTGGGAGGAGGCATGTGCCCCTCTTAGGCCCAATGTTCTTCCGATCTTGTATGAACAGGATCTAATTCATATGAATATAGCTAATAAGTGAATATATCAGTGTTACTTATATTTTCAATGTTGTACTCGGTTTGCGATTTAAATTCCTCTTCATTGATTTTTAAAATGGCGATAAATAATTTACTATCAAGATAAAGCAGTCACACTTATAAATAACTATATACATTATATACACTTTTAATGTAAAATGCAACGAAGATTAGCATTTTTTTCTCATAAAGAGATATATATATATATATATTTTTTAGTACAAGTAATAGTCTCAATTATAAGAGAGAGGGATTCTCGCTCACACTACCATGGTTCTATGAGGATTTGAATTTGAGATCATTAGTCTGCAAGTTGATGCCATTTTTTAGTGGACTAGACCCGTTAACCATAAAGAGATATATCTTTAGATAAGCATAAGGAATTCAAATTTTTATAAAAGCATAAGGAATTTAAATTTTGAAAAAGCATAAGGAATTAATAATTGTTGGCCAATGCGAATAAGGAATTGATTTAAAGGCGGTCCGAATGAGTTGGATTTTGTATGTACTATGGTGTTGGGAACAAAGAAAAAGTATAAGGCATATATATTATAATATTTAAATTTAAGATTTTTTATACACTTCTTATAGTACTTATTATTTTTTTAATAAAATATATTTTCTATAAAAAAAAAAAAAATTAAGGGTATTTTTGTGAGGAAAAGGATAAGGCATATATTAAGTCATACAAGTGCACGGCGATGCCGACCTAATTGCACCGTATCCAAAGACTCTGTAAGTGCACTAGATCTCTACCCTTCTCTTGCTGGAACACAATTCTTACTTTCCCTTTCTTCACCCTCTCCACGATCCGAATCCCCCAATTCCCAAATCAAACACCAGACTTCAGACTCTCTGTTACAAGAGACCTCCGAACCCCAATAGATCTTTTATAAGGAATAGCGGAGGGACAGAGAATCAGAGAAACAGAGAAGAAAGATGAAGATCACGGCCTTGCTGGTCCTCAAGTGCAACCCGGACGAATCCGACCCGACCATTCTGGCCAACGCCTCCGATACCAGTCACTTCGGCTACTTCCAGAGGTCCAGCGTCAAGGAGTTCATCGTCTTTGTCGGTCGCACCGTTGCCAAACGGACCCCATCCGGACAACGTCAGTCCGTCAAGCACGAAGGTCCGTTATTTCTTACGGTTCGGGTCCCCCAATTTTCGCTGATCCCCCTTGCAGTCACTTTTGTTTTCAACTGTATAGGTGTTCTATGCGCTATATACGATATTAATAATTTTTCCCAATTTGATGGAAGCTCTGATCATTCTAATTTGCGTTTTAAATCCTTAGCTGATTAATCTGGTTTGATTTGAGATCTCGGTTTTCCGGAGTTTTCAACTCTCTTGTCTTTGTGTGATATTGTTTGTTTGTATATTTTTTCTTGATTTGGGGTTACAGAATTTTGTTGCAATTGCAAATTTCGGGTTTTCTGTATACTTTTGTAGTGATTATAGAATTTGAGGCTTGAATTTGCATTGCCCCAATTTCATTCGGCATCAGATGCAATTGTTTATTGGAGTTTGTTGGCACGTTTTTACTAGAAATTTCTTTAAATAAGGTCACTAAAACATACGGCACAGACTGTCTTGCTCTCAGGGTTATTACTGTTGTAATTTTGAATATGTTTCTTAGACGCTCATTTAAGTTCTTGTTCTTCTTGTTTATCTTTTGTTGGAGTTTCAGTATGCTTTTATAAACTCTGAATTTCTTTGTGTTGTTTCTTCATAGAGTATAAGGTGCATGCTTACAACAGCAATGGTCTTTGTGCGGTGGGCTTTATGGATGACCACTATCCTGTCCGAAGTGCATTTTCTTTGCTCAACCAGGTAACACAATATGTACCTTTTCTAGGAGCATAAGTGTATCCATACATTGAATAATCCCTTCATTTTCCATACCTTGCTTCCCATATTTTTGTGATGGCTAATTGCTTCAGCTTAAGTGGTACCCTAGTGAGAAATTGAGATCCAATTGACTTTGATTTGTAATTAGTTGTGCCTGAGGTTTTTGCATACTTGGTTTCATGGACTACCTTAAATATAGTGCTCCAGGCTTGTTTTATGTTTGTCTCATCAAAGATCTGATTGATTCCTACGATTGGCAGGTGCTAGATGAATATCAGAAAAAATTTGGTGATTCTTGGAGGACTGCACAACAGGACAGCACACAAACATGGCCCTATTTGGGTGAGGCCCTGACCAAGTTCCAGGTGTGTCTGTTAATCTGTTTTTGCCCTCGTTTGTTTATCTGGAGTCATAAGGCAACATATGGTTAACCAAGATTATGTTTTCAGATTCGACAAAACAGATGAAGTTTCATGAGTTATAACTGAAGCTACTTTCTTGTTTCTTTATTTTCAATTTTCAGGACCCCGCAGAGGCTGATAAGTTGTTGAAAATTCAGAGGGAATTAGATGAAACAAAAATTATCCTTGTGAGTATAGTGCACTATTTCATTTACATTTTGTTCAACATATTTTTGTCGTGTCTGTTTTTATAATTTTTTTGTTGGTGGATTCAGTGCGTCTGTTTGTTTGTTGTAAATATTCTTTTGTATTTAAGTAGAACCTCCAACTTGGCATTTTGTTTTGTTTAGTAATGGCCAAAAGAAGATCTTCAACTGAATACCCTTATGGACCTTATCTGCTGAAATTTTTTCCTGAAATAAGTTGGAGATATCTTTTGTGTTATAAATTTATCTTTATTCAGTATATGCCGTTGCTTATTGGTCATCTCCTACATTTCTCACCCGGCTTATTTGTTGTTTCTTTCCTTGGTTCAGCATAAGACCATTGATAGTGTGCTTGCACGAGGTGAGAGACTTGACAGTTTAGTTGAGAAGAGTTCAGATCTTAGTGCAGCATCGCAGGTACAGACAATTATTGTGAATGACTATGAATTTGCCACTGCACACTCTCACATAGTACATTTGATCTTCATATGCGTGTAAGCCCATGTCATGTTAATTACCTATAATTTGAAGTGTGATGTTAAGGGCTTTGGGATCTTTCAATATCAAGAAAAGTTGATAGAACACAACTTTTTGGTGTGTCTAGGTGTGAGATAATGCAATATGTTATTTTGCATGCCATAAATATTATGGTGTTAAATAGCACTTATGATGAGATCATGGGAAGGCATCATTGTTTAAAATGACTTGTTGCCTGGCTTTCTAAACGTGTTGCAGTGCTTGAACGAGGGTTATGTTACCTTAGTTGAGTCTAGAAAAGCAATGTCAAGTTTTCACTGTATAATATTTAACATTGGAAGAATACCATTATTGCCCAACGACATGATGCTAGGAAGATCCCACCTAATTTTGTCTTAGTTTGAAGATTAGGTTCATGTATTATAATTTGTTTATGCCAGTCTGTCTTGGCTGTGTAACACACGCATATCATGACTGATTACTACCTTCTTTTTTTTCCATTGTTAAACCATAATATTTGCCTCTTGAAATTTGGAATTAAAGTTTGTTTTTAATGTGAGAAGATGATGACGGTGGTTTTTGAAACAGATGTTCTACAAGCAGGCAAAACAGGCCAATCAGTGTTGTACCATATTGTAAGAGGCGAGTAGCAATCCTGCAATGACAATCCCTTGATATGGTGCTGAAGTTGATGGATTACAATTTGACGATTGTAATATGTTCATAACATTTGTCAATTGTTTGCTTGGTAGAATTGTGTGGATTTTCCTCATTTTCCTAGGTATCAAAGATGGGAAACCAAATATTAATAGAGGTCTCCTGCTATTATAGTATTAAATATTGTTTCTGTTTGGAAACACGAGTTTGCGCATCTGCCTGGGTGTATGTGATATTCACATTACAATTTTATAAAATATATATGTCATTGCTTTCAGATTTTAGAGGATAGAAAAGAATTCAGAGTTATATCGGACATAAGTGAAAGGTCCAGAATGTTTATGGATGACTGAAAGTCCATGGGCGCTGTTATGATGTTGTTCTGGTTGCATTTGCATTTCAAGTGATTAAGAGTCGTTACCCTTCATATAAGAATCTCTATATCGTCCTACCCTTCATATAAGAATCTCTATATCGTCCTCATTTGCCTCGCCTCCACCGAACAAATATCCATGTGACCAGAGAATGCCCAGAGAAAGATACGTGTTGGTAACTGGTTCTGTTTACTTTCCATAGAACCATGTCGACATGGTCCTCCATACGGATAAAATGTGGATAAGAAGGGAAAACGACGACTCTCTCTCTCAAGAGATATACCCCACACCTACACGTCAATTGAACTGTAAGCCACTTCCTTTTTGTCCTCCTCCCTTGCAGAAGCTCATAAAAATCAAACCGACAGAAAATTTTAAGTAAAGAGTGATCTCATCAAAATATCATTCAAAATCCACAGGTACAAATTACGTAGGACGGAACAAACAGAAGGAATATTTTCAATACTAATAGGCTTCTTCAGAGTTCATCGCATGCACACAGAAACAGTCTCGACTCTGCAACAAACAACTACTAAAACATACACAAATTAACAAACGACACTCCCTAGTCTTGATTGATGTTGCCAAAAGGGTTTTTTGTGTGTTTCTTATTACAAATACCTACACATCCTCAAACCCCAAATATGCTATTGCTATCAGAAACTGTCTACTTTCCCAGGATGGATTTGAACCACCAGATGCCCTTGGTGTCTTTGGGGCCTTCTTCTCCTTCCGGTGGAGTCTCACTCTGTGGTGTCTTGTGGAGTTTGCTAACATCATATTCCTCATCCTTGGCCCTTTGAACTAGCTGGTTGTAAATTTCATCATCAAGACGAGGCTGCCTGCTTAAAATCTGATCAAATTCCCCAACCCCCCCAAAAGCAAAAAGAAGAAAAGTTAAATCCAAATACAGACAAAGCACAACAAATATCCAAAGGTAATTTTAATAAAATAAAAAAAATTACCCAAAGGTAATTCCTGCTAGGCTGGCCAATCAAAGCATACTGATAATCCTCATCAATAAACAAAACCCAGTAATCACCAGTAACAGGGATGATGGGCAAAAATGGAGGAACGTAGAATTTCACTTTGAGTTTGGCCTCTTCGCTGGAGGGGTCGGCCTTGTATGCAGTGCCCTCTATGAAGCCTCTTTTTCCATCAGTCCAAGTCTCATTGAGCACGTTCACAGTCCCATCATCTCTCAGAGTGTAGGTAGCCCTCGTGTTCTCTCCACTCTTGGGCTGAAACCTTGACGGAAATGAGGCTATCTCGTACCAGCGCCCCATGTACCTCTGCAAATCCAGACCCTTCACCACATCCATGGTTTTCTTCGCCATTGTTTCTTATTGTTTCTAGGTTTCGAGAATGGGAGAGTTTTTGGGGGTTTTATTATGTTTGTGGTCTGTTGATAAGGTGTGGAGGTGGCTTCAGCTTAATGGCTTTTGTTTGGGGCAAAAGGTAACTTAAATGAGCGACGTGTGGCTTTCTCGGCCTTACACGTGTAGGGTGTGAATGGTTGAACTTGCCACACATTACGGTGGGTTTTGTTTTCCCCTTTCCCCTTCCAGAAATATCCCCTTCCAGAAATATGGAGGTTAAAATTTCTGTTTTGATTTGAAGACGTCAAAGCTTGGGGAGGAAGAAAAAGCAACTTGTGGTAGTAGCTTCAAAGAAAAGCAAGCTTGCTAAGAAGCATTAAGCTTTGTCATTGTCATTGGCTTGTGAAACCAAGAATTGTAGATCGAGGGGGTGACACAAAGGGAGTCAAATCTCGAGTCCCAGTCACTTCTTAAATCATGGACCACGCATGCGTTGTATCTTTGTAACTGATAAGATCAATTGATCAGTTCTCTCCCAAAAAAAAGATCAATCGATAGGATATGTACAAGCTTAACCGTACCAATAATTAGTGATCGGCCCAAATTCACTGCCGTTTCTCCATGGAAGATGGAAAGACCTAAACCTTAAGCATGGGCCTGGTTCTGAATCTGAACACATGCAATTCTGGACTGGGTGAAATAATCTTTCATCATGAAAGCTCGAGAGACTAAAAGCCCACATAGGAAACAGGCCCGCTTTATCTAATATTACCTTGGTTTTTTTGATAAGAATTCAGAAGTTAAAGAATATGTGTTGCTTTCGCTCTCTCATACAGTTACACTAGATCTTGTAATAATTGCTTTGACTTGAGGAAAAAATAGAGGTTCTTTACCAAACTAAACTTACCACCTCTGCCTCTGTAACATTATTTTTCATGATTACAGCTCATTAATGGGGAGCCACTGACTTCTTCAGATTACAGTTTTGCTTTAACAAAACCAGCAGTGATAGATTCCAAGTTAGATCTCACTTTCCCCCAATACAGTGACACACTAACGAAGGAAAAACACATCAAGAGAGAGAGAGAAAGAGATGTCAAGGCGATCTGCTACTTGTTTGAGATGTTGTTTGGTGGTGTTTGCAGTAGTTTCAGCATTGGGGGTATGTGGTCCGGCCTTGTATTGGAGGTTCAAGAAGAGTATAAGGTCGGGGGATTCTAAAACTTCTTGCCCTACCTGCAACTGTGATTGCCCTCCTCCTTTGTCCCTTCTCAAGATTGCTCCTGGTACCACTCTCCCTCTCCTTCTTTCTTAATATGGGTTTCTTGTCGCTTTGATTTCTGATTTCTTATGTTTTGTTTCTGGGTTCTTTTGAAATTTTGATTTTTTCTTGATTGGAATGAAACTTATGGTTACCCATGTCATCAATTTGGGGTTTAAATCCTTCTTATTGCTAATTTTTGATTTGGAGCTGCTTATGTGTTGGGAATATATGTGGGAAGTGGAACCCAATTCAGGTTTAGATTTACTTTCTTTTTTTCTTATTGTGTCCGATTTTAAGCTGAATAGAGTGAAATTATAATTTCCCTTTTGATAGGTTTGTGGCATTGATATGGTGTGATTGTTTTCTGTTTTGTTTTTTGTTTTCCGAGCTGTTCTCTTTTGTTGGGTAATGCTTGTTTGATTGAGTTTTGAGTAAAGTTGAGATCTTGCCTTGTGTTGTCTTTACTTGCACTGTTATACTGTGTCTTTACTCTGTTATACCATGGTGCTTGAAAGGAAATACAGCACTACCTGCATATCATATGTGCACTCTTTAAAATTGCTATGGGCTGTATGAAGTCTTTCTGATCTGAGTTTATGAATCCACAATGCGCTCATTTTGTGGTAACATTAACCAGTTCTGCACTCAGACATTGTTAACCATGTTTCGGATTTTATTCCTGGGAGCTGGAAAGTCTCGCTTCAACATACAATGATTCTCAAATATGCTTTGCCCAGTCATTCAAACTTGGGGGGGCTTTGGGGGTGGGGGTGACTATCGTATCGTTAGTGGTTGTTCAAACGGTTAGATGGATATTTTTGCTATCCATAGAAGAACTAGTGCCGGAACGATTTAGGACTAAAGTTGGAATGAGCATTTTGATTTGTGTATATCGAATCTGGGAAAATCTGTTTCTGCTGTTAAACTGCATGCAAAATCTGAGATTTTGCTTTTGATTTCCCTATCTTCTTTCAATTATTATAGTCTGAGAGTTCATTTTTACTCCTATAATAACATATGTCATGGTTTGGTTTTTGTTATTCTTTTGCAGGATTGGCCAATCTCTCAGTCGCAGGTTAGAATGCATCCTATCATTCAACTTATTGTGTTATCCTTTTCCTTTATTACATTCATTAGTATTAGCTTAGCAACAAGGTCAGTGGAACCTGTTAACAAATATTTAATAGCCATTATAAGTTTTCATCCACTGCTTCTGGGAAATGCCTTCCCAAGTTGTTTATTGCGAACTATGTATAGGTACATGGGTCTGTAATCATTTTTGTTGGTGAACAGATTGTGGAAGTAATGACCCAGATCTGAAGCAGGAAATGGAGAAGCAGTTTGTGGACCTTTTAACAGAGGAATTGAAGTTGCAAGAGGCTGTTGCTGCAGAGCACACCCGACACATGAACATCACATTTGCTGAAGCAAAGAGGGTGGCTTCTCAGTACCAGAAAGAAGCAGAAAAGTGCAATGCTGCAACAGAAACTTGTGAGGAGGCAAGAGAGCGTGCTCAGGCATTGTTTATCAAGGAGAGAAAGGTGACTTTGTTGTGGGAAAGACGAGCCCGTCAAATGGGTTGGGAAGGGCTATAGTTTGTAAAACCGGATTGCAAGTTGTTCGGTTCAGTTCAACTACTGATTCGTCTTTCTCTGCAGTATTTATACAAACAACCAAGCAAAATTGCATGGATCGTTCCTTCCCCTGTTACAGCAAAAATGATCCCTCTCTTTCTCTCTCACTCTCTTCCAAGTGTAGTTGTACCTGTATTGCCCACAAATGGCATAAAGATATCAGATTTTACTTTATAAACAAAATGTTAAGGATCCCTTTGCCCATTTTACAACAATGAGATGATGTTTACAATCTGCCAGTGCATTAATTCCTATTACGGGTTACTCCTGTGTTTACTTAACATAAATGAATGGAAAAGCAATCTCATCCCAGCTTATACTTTCATGATGAATAAAGTGGTGTTTGAGAATATACTTGCATATCATATGTCAGCATCAAGCTGTGTTTATTTGATATAAATGAATGGAAAAGCAGTCTCATCCCAGGTTATACTTTCTTTTTTGGACGAAAACCAGGTTATACTTTCATGATGAATAAAGTGGTGTTTGAGAATATACTTGCATATCATATGTCAGCATCAAGTGTTATGACTAGTCAATCCACTCAAGTCATCAATTATATTTGAGCAAACAAGACAAAATCTCGAAGGTGAAGATTTTGGACTCGACACAATATTCCAAGAACGTGGGTTTCACAGCTATTCCTATTAGCAAAACCAAAGGAAACCTCAAATTACTTGAACATGGGTTTCGCAGTGAACTCATAAATGGTCTTTTCTGTCGGCGCAGGTGACAGCCATTGACTCCCTCATCCATCTTTACGCAAAATCAAGTAATCAACGGCTCTCACTGCCTCACCGCCACTTGTGCATGACCCTTATTCTTCCACACAACACTCACAAAACATACATAAATGAATGGAAAAGCAGTCTCATCCCGTGTTATACTTTCATGATGAATAAAGTGGTGTTTGAGAATATACTTGCATATCATATGTCAGCATCAAGTGTTATGACTACTCAATCCACTCAAGTCATCAATTATATTTGAGCAAACAAGACAAAATCTTGAAGGTGAAGATTTTGGACTCGACACAATATTCCAAGAACGTGGGTTTCACAGCTATTAGCAAAACCAAAGGAAACCTCGAATTACTTGAACATGGGTTTCGCAGTGAACTCATAAATGGTATTTTCTGTCGGCGCAGGTGACAGCCATTGACTTCCTCATCCATCTTTACGCAAAATCAAGTAATCAACGGCTCTCACTGCCGCACCGCCATTTGTGCATGACCCTTATTCTTCCACACAACACTCACCAAACATAATGATGGTCAAAGGACTTATGCATATGTAAATATTAATATATAATATATCACAAATCCAAAAGTTGCACCAAAAGACGCGGTTCGGACTGACTTTCAACGTTCATGCACTCACAAGGCACATCCAACCCCAGCTGTGAGGCTATGACGTTGAATTATTATAAGGGGCAATAATATTATAACATGCAAACCCATTATTATAATATTTTTTAGATCAAATATAATATAAAAGTAGAAAAGAAATCGATGTAGATCCACCAAAAACTCAACAAATACATCTTTTCAATTAATACTCAGATCAGGGAGGAAAACCCAAAAAAACAGAATTGTCGTTTGGGGTCTGAAAACTTGACGCTTAATAGGTTTTGATTGAGTTCTTCATACTATGAAGCTTCTGTGACTGTATACGTGGATATACTTTGATCCATCTTGGGTTCCAAGTTTGGGAAGTATTTTTGAAAGAGTTTTGGCGGCTAGGGTTGGATAAGTTTCTGAAAATGGAAAGTTCAGGAAGCATGAGGGTGGAGAAGAGAGGGTATGAAGAGGGCGTGGAATTGGATGATGATGCAGAAGAAGGCCACCCGCCAGAGCCAAAGAAGCAGAGATTGCCCGCTTTGGCAAGGTTTTTATTTCCTATTTTGATATTTGGATTTTATGACTTGTTTCTGCTAATTAAGGGGTAGGTGCTAATTCAATTGTAAGAATTTTTAGGCTGACTTATTTTGCATTTACACTCCCCTGTTGAATCATCTCTATGCAAGCGTTCAATATCATTTTCTTTAAAGACTATTGTTTATACAGTTCATTATTTGCAGTGTAATTGTGGAATCTTTGAAGGTAGATAGCTTGCAAAGACTTTGCTCATCTTTGGAGCCTCTTCTCCGCAGAATTGTGAGTCAGATTGTCACCCTTTGCATATTAGAGTAGAGTTGAGGTTGAAACTAGCTGCACTC